ACAACTCAGTATTGTATTTGCAAAGGGGTTCATATTTGTTGTTTGTAATAAAGTTGATTCTTAACAGGCACAAGCTAAACAGGTGGAAACTAAAAAGTTAAAAATCAAAGGTACTGTTAGATTTATATGTGAAAATAAATCCAATTTCCAATAATGCTAAATGAAATATAATACTTGTGAAGTAAGTTCAGTATTGATCTTACTCTTGGAAACATGTTTTAGAATACATCCACAATGCTTTAAAAAAATGTTAATACAAAGCAAAAAGTGCAAAAAGGGCTTGAAGGTAGCATCCTTCTCTGACCTCCTTGAACCTCATGAGGGGGAAACAGAATCACCATCAATCGCCCAAGGCTTATTCCTATGAGACCAGACATGCTGCCACCCTCCAATCTTTTGGCCAATTCTGACACCGACTATCTCTTCCATGGCACTCGCTACTTTTCTGCTTGTTGTTGTTGTTGTTATGTGCCGTCGAGTCGGACCCGACTCATAGCAACCCCTCCTTGGGTTTCTGAGGCAGTATCTTTGTAGTGTCACACAGAACATGATTGTGGGGTTTATTAGGGAAGTAGCAGGTTACAATTCAGGTGCAGGAATGCTCTCAGAATACAGTTCTTTGATCAAGACAGTCTCTCCACTGTTATGCCCTTAGGCATGCCTCTCTGGCCCTTGGCTTCTTGGTCTGGACTCTACCCAGCTTGAGCAAGTGTTACAAAGCTCTTTTAGCTCTACTGATAGGTGCATCTAGTTGCACCCCATTGCATCAGCAAGTCTCCTGCCCAAAGACACTCAACCTGCTTGTTCCATGGGCTGGCAAGCCCACTGCTCTGTCTCATGCCTCTTGGTTTTACTGCCACTTTCTCTCAGCTGGTCATCTTTGCTGGTCGTGTCTGCCATCTCATTGCTAAGGAGGTCCAGTGCAGGAATCTCGGGTCCAAGGATGCACTCCACTCTACCTCTGGCTCTTCTCTGTTGATGGCAGTGAGGATCCTCCTTTCTGCCCCTAGGAGGGCTTGCTATAAGCCTGACAGAATGACAAAACTAACCAATCCCAACAAAAGGGTTCCATATACCTTATTTCCATGGTCCCATCCCCACAGAAGTGCTATGTACCTTATTTACATTACTAACAAGCTATCCAGTCCATTTGATGGGCCACAAACACCTTATATTTGCATAGTTTCTCCCAGTAATCTGGTGGGAATCACATAGATGATAGTTAGAAGAGCCATACCAGGTAATTCACTGCAGTACACTTAGTAACGTTAAAAATATGCCCTTCAAGCATAGTTGATTTAGAAATAATTTCCTAGAAACAATAATTAAGTGGCATAAACTCACTTACTGTCGTTCAATCAATTCCAAGTCATAGTGACCCCCATTGGCTTTCTAAGGCTGTAAGTCTTTATAGAAGCAGACTGCCTTAACTTTCTTCCAAGGAATGGTTGGTAGGTTAAAATTACTGACCTTTTGGGTAGCAGTTAAATGTCTTAACCACCATACCAGCAGAGCTCCTAATTGTCTTGTTTACCCTCAGTCATTCTTTTCTTAGGATGCTTGTCCTGTTTGAGGACTATTTTCCATCTTGTTCATTGACTCTTTTTGATCTTTGCATGAGTTAAGATGTGAGCTTTCAGGTTATTTGACTGAATGAACTTCCTGTTCCTC